AACAATTCCTACATTGTGTTTGATTTTTGGGATATTCAATTGGGTTTGAGTCTTTCATTCTTCTTTTGAGTCTATTCACATATTCGTCTCAAAACATTCTTCTATTCCACTTATTCAAGTCCTTTGAGTCTCGTGGTCTTTGATTAATATTCGGTTTGTTTGAATTGCCGGTAAAACAATTGATTTAGTTCACTTGGTTCTTTGAAGTGCTTGGAGGGAGACTTTTAGTGGTAAAAGGCCGAGTGGTGAGTTTAATAGAGGGAAAAAGCCATAGTACGTGTTTTCCCAGTGAAATCTTTGTGAGGCATAAAAAAATTGTGTGATATGATGTCGGAAAGAGAAGGATCTAATTCAAGCCGAAACGGTAATGACAACAATGCATCGGAGGATATGATAAGGAGGTTTGAAAGGGTACTTGGTGATGTTAGGGATAACCATCGCGCAATCGGGACATCAAATGTTTTAGGTGTTTGGGAACGGGGCATATTGCTTCTCAATGCCCAAACAAACGGGCGACGGTGTTGCGGGATACTAGAGAGATTGTGAGCGATAGTGATGGCGAGTTTGATGACATGCCGGCGTTGGAGGGTGTTAATGAAGAAGAAAAAGTTGAAGGGCCGATTGGGGATCTACTAGTCACTAGGCGAGCTCTCACTACTCACGTCAAAGCGGATGACTTGGAGTTGCAAAGTACTACAATTGCTAATCTTAGCCGGGGACAAGTGGAGATGTCTAATGCTAGGGGGCCGGGTAGGCGTGAATCTAGGAGAGGAATGCGGGATGAGTATCATAGTAATGAGGATGATTTTGATGAAAATGACATTGATATGGGTCGAGCGAGGCATAGGGGCGATAGGATGGAAAGACGGGGTAAAAATAACTTAGGAGATGAAGTAGATGGAAATTTGGGGAGTATTAAAATGACTATTCCACAATTTAAGGGGAGAAGCGATCCGGAAGCATATTTAAAGTGGGAAAGGAAGGTTGAGATGATTTTTGAGTGCTATAATTATTCGGAGGAGAAAAAGGTAAAATTGGCGGTGCTTGAATTCGTGGATTACGCGATATCTTGGTAGGATCAAGTACTTACATCACGGCGTAGGGGTCGAAAAAGGCCAATTAGCACTTGGGATGAGTTGAAGATGTTGATGAGGAGGAGGTTTGTTCCGAGTCACTATTATAGGGAAATCCATAAAAAATTGCAAGGTTTGTACCAAGGATCGAAAAGTGTAGAGGATTATCACAAGGAGATGGAAATTCTTATGATTCGGGCTAATGTGGAGGAAGATCGGGAAGCTACCATGGCACGGTTCTTGAATGAGTTAAATCTGGATATTGCAAATGTTGTAGAGTTGCAACACTATTTGAAGGTCGAGAAGCAATTGAAGAGGAAGGGGACGTCTAGGCAACCGTTAGGTACTTCGACTCCTAATCCAACATGGAAATCAAAGTGGGATGACAACAACAAAAATGGGGCTGCACCTAGAGGTAAAAATGATTGGCAAAAGGGCAAGGATGAAAACGCTAGCAAACTAATATCAAAACTGGAGGCACAACCATCGCGCAATCGGGACATCAAATGTTTTAGGTGTTTGGGAACGGGGCATATTGCTTCTCAATGCC